AGAGGACTTCAGTATCCAGATTTTTTAATCTCTCATAACTCCTTTTACAGGAAAGTAATTTACTTTACACATAAATGTGTGTGTGTGTATTTATTTGTGGGTAAACTTATATTATATTGTTATGTGTGTATATATGTATATTTAAGAATATGTCTCTGTCTTAAATGTGTGATGCAATGCTGTTGTACAAAGGTGTTATCAGCATTTTTGAGATACACAGTGAGTACACTTTTTTATCTGGGTATTTCTGATATATTGCCTACACCTTTAGTGTTATTTCTCCTTACTGGAAGGAGCTAAGGAACTGGGAAAGAGTGCTGGCTTCCATGGTGCCTTCCACGTCATGGGAAGAATGATTGACTGAGGTCTCTTTACTGCATCCTTGCCAGCAGGGATGGCATCAGGAATGCAAAGGATATGACGGTTATCAAATTCCAGGGCTGAGTTTGCAAAGTTAGCAGAATTGCCTTGTCCACTGACAGTTGCAATAGGATCTTATGAAGGGGTAATAAATACGGAAACTCTTCTCAAAACTCATTTTCCAAAACGTAGCCATGCTTCAGGAGAGAGAATGGTTTTGCAGGAGGAGGGAACATAGACCACGGATTAGGCACAGCTGTAGAACTTCATTGACACAGCATATGACTGAGAGTCACCTGACTTATTTTTTCATCAATTGCCTTACTTGTAAATCAAGTATAAATTAACATCCTTTCCTCCAGGACAGTCGTCCCTTAAAGGCTTGTCTGACATGCTATCAGAATTTATTATTCTGTTAAATGCTACAGTACAGAACAGTTACTGTTTTTGAACTGTGCCCATTAAACATCTAAGACTCCCATCCTGAATCAGATCTATGTTGTCAGATCCTTATGCCATTGACATCTGTGCTGCTCCATGTGAGTGCTGAGGTCTACCTGCATGGATCACCTTGCAGCATCCAAACTTGTATAATTAGATATGAGACATTTCTGGCAAGAACTTTTAAGGTTATAGAGAAAATCATTACATTTGGTAGCACATCAGACCAGACCTTGGGGCCAATGAGATGTGGAGACTCCTCAGTGAAACAGCTCATCGAGGGTTTCCAGGCAGCTTGGATCTGGGAGACTTCCTGTTGTTATTTTCTCTTCTAATTAATCATTGTATTGTCCCTCTTCATAGCACAGGGTTTTCAAGTAAACCCAGCCTGGTGACAATCTGAATCTCTAAAGGACTGTCCTGTTCTGTTGAGTTTTGTGATGCGGAAAAAAACAAAGCAGCAGAAAGGCAGATCAAAAAGGGACAATGCAAAGGACCCTGAAGGCAGACTTAAGTTTGGTATTTAATATTTCAGGTAAAATACTCATTTAGCATCAATTATCCTTGTTGTGTGTTTTTTTCCAAAGGAAATTGCCTTCTGAACCAGCCAGCTCTCTAATTACCAGATTGAATGATTGAAATTTTTAGGGCAATTAAATTCAAGCTTTTCTTTTTCAGATCTCATGTTATCCCCCTTCTCTCCCTCCTCTCTGCAGTCTGGAGTCTTTTTCTAATTTGGAGACAGTTACAAGAGGCAAGCAAACCTTTAAAGCCAAGATGCATGTCTCCCCGAATTCCTCTGTGGGTTTGTTTTATAGACTGAGCAGAGAGGGATCTGGTGAGTTTTGTTCTCTCAATATATGCACATTATTAACATACAGTAGGGTGGGTTTTACTGTAACATATTTTGTCATAAAAAAACAGCTTGGAAGGTTTTATTAAATATAGAAAGTCTTGTGAAAAAAACAACCATTGGAAATAGTTTTCAGTGTTGCTTATATCTGCAGATCAGCATACCAATTGATAATGGTGATAATAATAATACTATGCCGGAAGAGAAACTCAGAATCACAGGAATTGAGAGGAATACACAATAATTCTCGTAACACAGGTGCAAAGAGAAGTACACACAACAGTCAGATGTAACAATAAAACAAGAGACATAGGGCACATCCAAACGAGTACGCGTGTGAAGTTTGCAGTGTCTCAAAGCTGTTTGAAGTGCCGCAAACCGCACGTGGTGCATATGCAACCATTTGCTGTGCTGCTAATTTACACTGTGGTGCCAAAATTGGACCCTGCGAGATCCCAGTGTCAATAAAAAACACCACAAAAAAAAAAAAAAAAGTGGTGTGGCACACATGGAAGCAGCATGGCCACTGGAAACAGAGCCTGGCCATCCAGAGCCATGCTCTGGCTGCCGACCAGGAGCTGTGCGGTTGGATAGGTGCCACTGCTGCCCTGGGAGGCCAGGCCAGGTTGTTGGGGCCAGCACAGATGCTGGCCTCAGCCTCCCCTACCCCAGCAAAGACTATATGGCATGCTCCAGAGTGCATGTGCAGGGGCATGACCTGGGGCATGAAGCAGCCATACAAATATGCTTATACCAGCTGAGACTCAGACCCACTACTGCAGTACCACAAATAATTTATGAGTTGTGGGACTGAATGTATGTGTGTGTCTCTGTACCTGCACACTCATGAACTGAGAAGCGTGGTTTGTCCTAGTTTCTTTGCTGTCTTACAGTGAATCATGAGGTTAGAAGGGGCCTCAAAGACACGTAGTCCAAACCTCTGCAAAGATGCAGGATTCATAGGTCCTAAACTGCCACAGGTAAATACATTTCCAGCCTCTTGAAAACCTTCAGTGACGGACTTCCCTAGGCAGCTTATTCCATTGTTCCACAGTTTCTCTTAATATCATGATGGCAGCAGGCTTTGGTAATTTGCAGTTACGTGTGCAAGGCTGGGAGCAAGGCTGCAAGAAGTCAGGGGTCACAAAAGTACTTATGGAGATGCCACAGAAAAACCTCTGGATTTTTCTAAACAGACACTTCTATATAAATCTAGATACATGTGCCTAAATATCATCTGCACAAGTAAGTTCTTTGTGACAGGAGAACTGCTTTCAGTATGTATTTGTATAGTGACAACCACAGAAGAGTTCTGGTCTATTATTAAAGCTGTTAGGTGCAATATCAATACAGCTACAACACTCGTGATAATAATAATACAGGAAATAGGTCATTTGGGCCATGGTTCTGGTTATGCAAAAAGTAATGCAGCCTCTAGGAAATGCCTAGATACATGCTCCAAAAAAGGAGATTGCAGTTAGTGGACAGGATGATGATTTCAGTTACATTAGTGTTAATCCAGAAAACTCCACTGAAATCCTTTCAGTTATGCTGGCTTTACATGGGTATAAGAAAAAGAAGGATTTTGTCCTATTTGCTACATTTTTTACCCAACTTGGTTTTATAGGCACTTTCCCTAACCAAAGGTATATTTTTCTCTTTTTTTTTTATTTATATTGTAGCAACCTTGGATGCAGCCAGTAAGGAACTAGGACCCATTGTGCTAGATGCAGACTATAGACACACACACTAATTTTACACCTTTAGGTGCAGACAGAAGTGACTATTTTCACCCAATCTGGCTACTGAAAACAGTTTATAGCAGTGACCAAACACAAGTGCATGGCTGCAAACAGCTTAAAAAAGGCTGATTGGGTGAAAATCTGACCTTGAATGAGGGATCAGATGAAGACTTTCAAAATGTAGCATCCTCTGTAACTTGTGTCTGCAGAGCTCCCAGCCTGTTGCTGTTTTCAGAATGGGAGGGGGGAAAGGGAGCCAAGGGAGTTCAATCTGGGTTTTTTTTCACCCCCCTGGAGGGTGGGGCGGGTGTATTGGAGCCCCTTGCCCCAAGGTGGGGGGCTCCATTTCACCCACCCTTCAGCACTGCCTGGGGAGCCCCAAGAACGAGCTCCCTCTGATGCCTCCCCCCCACCCCCTTTGAAAAACAGCGAGCACTGGCAGAGAGCTGTGGCGGTTGCTATGGGAACTTGTCTGTAAGCTCCCAGCCCCCAGCTAGATTCCCCTTTTGGCTGGAGCCAACAGTGCACTTCTGTTTGGTCTGGGGTATGGCTGTAACTCAGAACTCTTTGCAGAAAATGTTCCAAGTTACAGCTGGGAGCTGCACTTCTGTCTGCGCCCTTTGTTTCCTATTTTCTAACAGTGCATGTTTCCACTAAGCAAAACAGTTAATCCACACCAAAGCCCTGGCATAAACCAGGGAACTGGTGAAACCACTCTGTATTCAGAGTGTCTCTTTTTGTGCTTCAAAGGTCGTATGTTCATACTGGACCAGACCCAGATATTTCTTCAGAATTACTCCTTTAGTTTCACTGGTGGAAGGGGCAAGGAAATCAGACCTGGTCTTCCCAATGCTGTCACAGTGCTGCATTAATGATGCAGTGCTCTTCGCGTGTAAACCCCAATTACGATGGCACCTTCATGAACCCTCCCGTACTTCTCTTCATGAACCCTCCTGTACTTCTCTAAGGCTTTGGGCAGGTGCTGGCCACATCTGGCAAGATCAGGGCTTCAGTTTAAAACAATATAACCTCAAAATAACGAATTGTTGTAATTAATAATGAAATATAAATATGTAGGATTTTCCATGTTGTGTAAAGTCCGCTTCCTACAAACGGAGCCTCTCTGCACAACCTAATGGCCGCTGCAGAACTGGATAACTGGCACAGTGATCTCCAGACAGAAGTCATGGCTTGGCAGTAGATGATCTGTTTCTGCATGTAGGTTTCACAGAACAAGGTCAATGGATCAATTTCAGTATCTTGAATTTAGCAGTGTTGATGGTCCTGAATTACTGCTCATTTCTGTTGCACTTTCTCAAGGGGTATCTGTATTTCTCTCTCACTGGCTTTCCAGGAGGCCTTGACCATTTAAAATCCTTTTGAGTGTGTGCCCTGTATTCACTCTTTAGAAGCACATGGGAAAGCTCCTTCAGCTCTGACTCATTGTGAGGACTGTACAATTGTATCCCAACTGCCTACTCTACTTATCTACTGCATTATTTCTGTGAAAGCAAAAGCCCTGCGTGGAACAGATGCTTGGAATGGTATTGGGATCCAATTACTGCACTTTTCCAATCTTACATCTATTGTCTAAACTTGGAGCAGGCATATTTTTACTCCTCGGTGACACTATATAAAGAGACAATTGGCATTGTGTTTGCTGGCTGGCTAGTTGGCACAGGAGGGGCAGAAGGATCAACAGCACCATGGTAGGATTTACTTTTTCCCATGCCTGTCTTGCTTTCTCTCTTTCTTTTTCTTGTCCTTTCTTCTTTCCTTTCTGTGACTTTAGCTCCTTTCCTTTCTTTTGAACTTGATCATTCTAGCAGGAGCAAGGATAATAGTGCCAGACCCCCACCAAATCCCAAACTGAAACAGAATCACATTCAGATGGAGGAGACAGCCAGGGCCAGGGCCACTGGATGAGCTGTGAATCCCAGAGCACTATTTTGTACAGATTAATAAATGCACTCGACGTGGTTGTAGTCTGGACACAATCCTGCCAAGGTTGCATGGATTCGCTAAGTGGGGGAAGAGTTCACCAGGAGTCTATTTCCCAGCCTAGTTCCATAGTGGGGACTAGGGAACAATTAATGTTATTGCTGGTGCTGATTAGCCCCAAGGTATATGGTCTGCTGCAAGGAGAGCACCCTGTGAATACATTGCCATTGACATATGGAGGGGAGAGGTAAGGATAACTACAGAAATTTTTGTGTCCCTACTCTACCACACACTGTCATAGCCTCACTTAAGGCACCTTGCTTTGTGCTAGCATGTTGACCCTAGGACCTTTTACAGGGGAACCTCTGCATGACTGCCTCAGCCCATGTGGTTTCAAAGATCAAGGGCAGAGTTTTAATCTAAGATACAGTCTGAGTATCTAGCTCTGGATTCCCCCTGCAATTTCATGGGAGTTGTTACAGTATTATTAAAAAAGAGCTGGAGGTCTTGGCTCTGTTTCTTTCTGTTCACCCTTTTCCTGCATCCTTTCAAACTCTATCTGTGTAGTATTTCCCTAAGGTTGTGAATTATTTGGAAGTGGAGAACACCAGAGAGGGAACTCTGCTTGAAATCCCTTTGTAAACCATTGTTCAAATTCTGGCTCTCTTTAAGCCGGTGATAAGTGTGGCCCAGTCCATGTTCTGAACAGGATCAAATGATACTTGAAACAACTTCTAAAAATCATGCTGAAAGCCAGATTGTAGTCTCAGCTTGTTCAGGGCTAATATAAAAATTTGGGCTCTGCAATTACACGCCTCACCAGCAACTAGACCATGTTCACCAGTGGTCTAGAGGAGATCATATCTGTCCTGCATTTTCCTTCTTGGGCCTTGGGTATATAAACTGTACTTTGACTTTGCTAGAACCTAAGCCAGCTATTCATCCAGTGGCTTGTGTTGGGTCTTGGGGTTTTTCTTTTTTGCCTCTCGGGGTTATTTTTTTTTCTCCATTATTTGGTGAAATGACTCCTTTCCCACAGTCCCCTGCAACTCTGGAATAATTAGGACAAGTCTTTCTGTAGCCAAATTGCGCAATGCAGTATATCTCAGAATGTAGTAAAATATTCGACTCTGTCTCCGAAATCCCAGCTCTACCATCGGTGGTAGTTCTTTTCACTGTGTCTTTTGTTTTGGGAAAGCATCTTTTGAGGTACCTTATAGTGCAGGGAAACATGAAACAGATTTAAAATGGAAAGAAAAAAATAGTCTTAATGAAAGAAAGCTGAGAATATCTTTACATAAGGAAGTGATCATTTTTTATTAATCAGAGGGAAATGTATATGTAATTATGCTAGATGAACTCTGTGGGGAAGGTTTTTTTCCTCTTTATGATGTCTTAAGGGATTTATAAATATTACAGAGGTTTTATAGCATCATAATATTTCAGATGTTCAGTAAAGCTACTTTCAAAGGATTAGTGCAGACAAAGCAGCATAGTAAAAAATAATTACAAGTCAGCCAGTGCTACTAGGATCTGACATACAAGGCTGAAGAGAATAAGAATGGCAGGGTTCAGCGAGATAATTTTTCTAACAAGAGGCAGACCACACAAGTGCTGCAGGATGGAGCGCTGAGAACGGTGTGTCTGTGGCTCTCCGTTAATTCCCGGGAATTTCAGGAAAGTTGGGTCTGTGATGTCTCTACATGCATGGTGCTGATGGAGAGAGAGAGAAGGGGAGGGGGAGGCCTTTTTCATATTCCAGCAACATTCCTGCGTTTATTCAGTTCAGCGACACCTTGTAGCAGAGTCTGTATGCTGAAGGGAATCGTGGACCCAAAAATAGATTGCATTCTGATCAAATGTGTTTTGCATCCTGCCAGACTGTCTGGAATGTACCACCTGTACTAAAATATACTGACCTCGATAGAGCATTGCTGATTTACACTGCCAGCTGGGGATCTAGCCCGTTGCGTTACTATGGAAATGTGTACGCACGTGTGTGTTCGTATGTAGGGCATTTTGTACGGGTCCACTGAGACATGTTTAAGAGGAGGTCATGTATGTGCCCAAGAGTGTCCTGTGTGGCTATGTTAGGGAATGAGCCTGTGCAGAGCATTTTGGAGCTATAGAGTTTGAACAGACTGTGGTAGGGTGAATACTGTGGGTTTGTGCATATGTGGAAATGCTGGAAACCAGTACACTCTTGGGGGGCATGAGAGAGAGACAAATTACTGCAGTTTAAGGGACTTTGTGTGGGGACAAGACAGAGTGTATTAGAGGATGGAGTTTAAGGGGCTTTAGGATATAGAAGGGATAAAGGATATGGAGGGAGGCTGGGACTGTGTGTAAAATGGTGATTGGGGATGAGACGGGAAGGATTTTCTTCTGAGTACAAACAGGGTAATAAAAAAATCTGTGTTTCTCTGTTCTGATAGTGCAGGTTTTTAATTGTATTGTTGGAGGCTGCTGCCTGTTTGAAATGCAGATTGTGCCCTTCGAGCAGTTGGTGCTGCTTAGTCCTCTGGATTGGTCACTGCAAGGCAGGCGCTTTGATGGGTCATAAGCTCCTCACTTGCCTTTGAAAGGATCCAGGCTGTGCTAAGAGAAAAGTGACTTGCCCATCCCTGGGCTTCTTGGTGCACTTGCAAAATAAATGATCTAAGCAAAGCAGAGCAACCTCAGCACTGTACCTCCCCAGCCCTGTAGAAATAGGGTGACCATACATCTTGGTTGAGCCAGGACAGTCCCAGATTTTGTAGGTTGGTGCTGGCCGGTCAGTGAAAGGTTCTGGAAACAGAGGCAGAGGTAGGTCGGCAGGGCTGTGGGGTGCAGTCCAGCGGGGAGGCAGAGCAGCATGGTGTGCCAGGCAGGTGTGTGTGCAGGTACCGGAGCTGCTGTGTGGGAGCAAGGTGGGTGGACTGGAGCAGTGCCCAGCCCATCCTGCTCCCTGCCTCCAACCACAGCTCAGGAGGACCTGGGTCAGGCATGCACCATGCAGCTCTGCCCCCCAGCCAGACTGTGCCCCCTGCCCACCTGCCTCTGCCTGCAGCAGCATTGACATGGGTGTGTGTGTGTTTGGGGGGGGGGGT